TATACACGTGTACAAACCATATGCAAGTGTGGACGTTAGAGGACAACTTTCAGGAGTCAGTTCTCTCCTTCCACCAAGTGGGTCCCAGAGATCAAACTCAGGTCATCAGAGTTGGGGGCAAATACTTTTACCTGCTGAGCCATCTCACCAGCCCCACATTGCTTTTTGAGATGTGGTCTCAGTGGGACGTGGGGCTTGCCCATTCACCAGGCTGGCTGGCCAGTGAGTCCCAGGGATCCTCCCCAGCACTGGATTGAAAGTGCATGCTACCATGCAGCTTTTTATGTGGGTGCTGGGAACTGAACTCAGGCTCTTATGCTTGTGCAGCAAGTGTTTTTCTGAGCTGTCTCTCCAGCTCCATATGGCTGGCTTTATTATGATTTTTAGTTAATTAATTAAAAAGAAAGAATCAGACTATGTAGCCCTAGTTGGCTTGGAACTTGCTATGCAGGACAGGCTGACCTTGAACTCAGAGATCACCTGCCTCTACCTCCTGAGTGCTGGAACTAAAGCCATATGCCACCACACCCAGCCTTCACTATGATCTTGTCTACAGAAAGGAACTTCTGATAGACTTCCTATAGAGTTGATCAATAACCTGACCTGGGTTGTTACACCATGGCAAAATCAAGTTTTCCTTTTTCTTTGACATTCTAGAATAGTGCTACCCAAGAGATCTTACTGCTATGGTAGAAAAGTTCTACACTTGCACTGTGAAATCTGGTGGCCACCAGCTACATATGGCTACTTGGGTTCCAAAACGAGACCAATACTACTGAGGAACTGAGTCCTTCTTACTTAGTTTGATTAATTAATTCATGTTTGGCTCATTACCTGTAGCTAATGGTTACCATATTGCACAGCACAGCTCCAGGTATAAAATATAACAGAAATTTTAGGTCTAGACAATTTTGAATCCCAATTCCATCACTTAGCTCTAGGTGATCCAATGAATGTTTCTTTCCTCCTTTTTTTTTTTTTTTTCCGGCCTTTTTGAGACAGGGCTCCCTGTAGCCCCAGCTGTCCTGGAACTCACTATGTAAACCAGGGTGGCCTTGAACTCACAGTCTGGTAATTTTTTTTTTTGAGGCAGGGTCTTCCTGTAGCCCCAGCTGTCCTAGAACTCACTATGTAGACCAGGCTGGCCTTGAACCCTTGAACTCACAGAAATCCACCTGCTTCTGCCTCCCAAGTGCTGGGATCAAAGGCATGCACCACCACGCCTGGCAGTCTCTTACCTCTTTAGGACTCAGTTTCTCCATCTGAAAAATATATCTGTAAGTGGCACTGTTCAGGTTTGTTGTGAAGATTGAATAAAATATGAAACCAAGTGTGGCATAGCATGCCTGTCATCTCAGCACTGGGAAGGCAACAGAGGTAGGACGATTGGAAGTTCAAAATCAGCCTGAAGTGCATAGTGACACCCTGTCTCAAAAACTGAAGGACAGGGACTGGAGAGATGGCTCAAAGGTTATGAACACATACTGCTCTTTCAGAGGACCTGAGTTCAGATTTGAGTGCTCAGGGTGAGAGATCGACAACCGCCTGTAATTCTAGTTCCAGGGGATCCCACGACCTATTCTGGTCAGTGATCTAGCACTTCCTAAACATTCACATGGCCCTTTGATTCTATCCCTAACACCTGGAAGGAAAAAAACTCTATTGGGCAGGACCCCAGAGTGCTCCAGGGGACAATAATTGTCAATGTGAAGCATCCTGCTGGTACGAAAGCTCAATCTTCTTGGAAATTTGATACTATTTGGGAAAGAGGGCTGAAAAGGGATTGTGTAAAAAAGACAAGACAGGTATTGCAAAGTGTACTTTAGAGCTGGTGAGATGGCTCTTGACGCCAGGACTGACAACCTGAGTTTGATCCCTGGGATCCCTAAGGTAGGACAGAACTAGGGATGGAGACATGGCTCAGCAGTTTAGAGCACTGGCTACTCTTGCAGAGGACCTGGGTTCAATTTCCAGCACCCACATGACAGCTAACAACTGTAACTCCAGTTCCAGGGGTTATCCAACATTCTCTTCTGATCTCTGTGGGCACTGCACGACACGGGTGCACTCACATACATGCAGGTAAAACACTCATAAATATAAAATAAAAATAATTTAAAAACTTTTAAAAAGGGCAGAACTTAAGTCCTGCAAGTTGTCTTCTGACCAACACACACATGCTGTGGCATGTGCACACCCATACATATGGACATACACAATAAATGATAAAAACACATAAGTTATGAAGGGTGGAGAGATTGCCTAGAGTTAACAGTGCTTACTGTGCAATCATGAGGTCCTGAGTTTGGATCCTATCATCCACATACCAGCCAATTTAGGCATGGTCCACTGTTATCCTATAGCCCTAGCACTGTGGGAAACAGAGGCAGGAGAATTACTGGAGTTTGCTGGCTGCCAGCATAGCCAAAAAATTGAGCTCCAGGCTTAGGGAGAGACCCAACCTCAAAAAAGTAATGCTTCCTTTGTCTTCCATTTGTGCACAAGCACAGGTATGTGCAAACCCCACCCCCACACGTACAAGGGCACATACGCACCACACATTTACAGAATTAGAATATTAATTTAAAAATTTTTTATTTTATTTTATGTACCTGTGTGGGAAAAGTTGGGATCGTGGGAAAGGCTGTAAGTAGTTCACAGGTGACAAATTTTCCCAATTCTTAATCACACTTAGCACCAGGTTTTACCTCATGGGCTTATGGCGGCCACAAAGTCAAAAATGCAATTGGTTCTAAGTTTCAATGAGTTCTCCCCACACCCTAGTGGACAAATACCATCTATTAACATTCTTTCTGTCTTCCCACTTCAGGTCAACAGGGACTTACTCCAGTTTGGTTATAGGATGTAATTTCCAATGATCCTCTTCTTCATCATAAAAGGATCTATTCATAATTTCATTCTTCTCTTCCAAAGGGATTAAGTTTTCTATAATAAGGTGCCTGTAAGAATACACACAGATGAATACAGATGAAAAACAGACACAGCCAGGCAATGGTGTATACCTATAGTCCAGCTACCTGGGAAGCTGAGACAGAGGTTGACTTGTGTCTAAGAGGTCAGCCTGGGCTACAGTGATATCCTCTCTCCAAAACCACAGCAAAACAGATTAGAGTGTTGCTTATCTGGTATATGAACGGGGGGTAATTAGGTAAGAGTCAAGTCATTCATCAACATTTACCAAGCAGGTGCCATGAGACAAGCATCATACATAGAGCTGAGATAAATGGCACCAGGTCCCTGCCTGATGTAAAGTGGTAACAGTAAGCTGGGCACGGTGGCGCATGCCTTTAATCTCGGCACTTGGGAGGCTGAGTTTGAGGCCAGCCTGGTCTACATAGGGAGTTCCAGGCCAGCTGGAGTTATACAGGTAGACCCTATCTCAAAAAGACCAAAAAAAAAAGAGGTAACACTATACCACTGACAGGTGCTAAGAGAGGTCTATCCCAGGACTATGGAGAACTCATTCTTTCCTCGGGATAAGCAGAGTAACAATGTAAGGAGACTGAAGAGGTAGGAGGGCTGACACCCAACTTACCCAGGGGTAAACATCTGCTACCCAAAGGGGTAGCGTAGCAAGATCCTGTCTCAAAAAAAATAAAAAGTGTCAAACTAGAGATTGGAACCTGCTAGGCTATCTCTATGGTGGTGGCAGGCCCCATCTTTGCCTCCATTCTTCCAAGACCTCAGGACAAACAATGCCAAAGGGATGTTACCATGGGATGGACACAGGACAAATGTCTCAGAGGTGCAAGTTACTAAGGAACAGAGTGTATACTTGAGAATCACTTTCTTGAGGGGGAAACAATTTAGGGACATGTAAATTTCTTTTATTTGACATTTCAGGAATTATTATTCATAACACATTCTTCTATTTATGCATAGAAAATGTGAATCTATGGTTATCCATAATTTCAGCATCCAGAGATAACTACCATTATTTTGATAGTTCTTGTTCTGATCTTTTTTTCTAGAAATACATGCCTACAAAGAAGACAGATACACAGAGTAAATTTTTAAAAATTTTATTAGTGTTGTGTGCATGTGCATGTGTGCCACAGCATGTGTGTGGGAGCCATCCTACCAGCCCCACACATACAGAATTTTAATGACTCCTTTCCAAATCTAAAATTTGGTTAGTTCAAGAATCTGTTTGAAAAGTTCCTCTTTAAGGAAAAAGTCCAGCTTATGATGTGGAAAGACTGATAAGAAAACATTACTTTGCAATACCTAATAAAACAGTCCATCCAGATGAGATCTTCTTTAGTTGAAACACTACTATCACCCACAGAGTTGGGTTTTTATTATTCTTATTTTTGCTTTGTACAGTTGGGGGGGTGTCTTTTTTGGTTTTTGTTTGTTTTTGAGACACAGTCTCACTATGTAGCACTAACTGGCCTGCAACTCACTGTGCAGACCAAGTCAGTCTTGAACGCACCGAGATCCACCTGCCTCTCTGCTCAAATTAAAGGAGTACACCACTAGGTCAGGCATGATGTTTGTTTTTGAGACAAGGTCTCACTGTATAGCATGGGCTGGCCTAGAACTTGTGATCCTCCTGCCTCAGCCTCCCAAGTGCTGAGATTGCAGGCATATGCTGCTACACCCTCTATCACCCAATCACCTATAGAGCTTTAAAATATACCTTCAGGGGTCTGGTGACATAGCTCAGTTGGTAGAGTGTTTACCTAGCATGCACAAGGCCTTGGATTTGATCTCCAGCACCACATAAAGTAGGCATTGTAGCACACACCATCCGCTCAAGGTCATTCTTGGCTACGCGGCAAGTTTGAGGCCAGCCTGGGCTACATGAGACCCCATATTAAAAATCAAAAAGAACCCTGTTGTCCAAAGAACAATGGTTATTTACTTTTTGGTTGGTTGGTTTTGTTTGTTTGTTTGTTTGTTTGTTTGTTTTATACAGTGTCTCACTATGTAGCCCTGGCTAGCCTGGAACTTTGTGAATCAGGCTGGCCACAAACTCACAGAGAACTGGCTGCTTCTGCCTCCCAAGTTCTGATTTTAAAGGCCACCATGCCCAGCCTGAAAACAGTGGTTCTTAAAATTAAAAGTATGTTTGAATCTGGTTAATGAGTACTTAGATGTTCGTTAGATCGATCAGAAAAAAGTTCACAATAAGAAGTTAATAAGTGATTCCCTCTCATCAGTAGTCAGGGACCAGGCCAGAAGCTAAGGTAGAAGAGAACTTGGAGACCATGTATTGACCTCCCAGAATGCAGCCAGATGAAAAATGACTTCCTCAGAAATAAGCAAGACGCGGCAGGGTGGCAAGGATGAACCTGGTGAGAAGCAGGCAGCAGGACCAGTGAGACCACTGACTCAGTAGGTGGCAAGGAACCATGCAGGGCCAAGTACTTACTTGAGCTTCAGCTCCCTGGTGAGCTCATTCTGAGTCTGCTCCAACTCTTGGCGCTCCTTGATATGTTCTTCTTGGAGGTCATGGATCTCAGCCTTCACAGCCTGGAGCTTGGAAAAGAGCTAGAGCCAAGGAAGAAGTAGGTGAGGAGAGGTTGTGCACAAAGAGCTCACCCTAGCCCCAGCTCTCAAGGCCTGGACTCCAGACTTCCCTACCTTTTTGAGCTTTTTGGTCTTGATGTCTACCTCCTGCTGCAATGAGCTGTATGTCTCTTTAAGCTCCAAGGTCTCCTCATCTCGACTTTCCATTTGCTGCTGAATTTCTCTTTCTCGACGTTTCTGAGCGATATCACAAAATTCATCAGCTTACCCTAGAGACTGTGTCTACATAAGAACACAGATCTGGATGCTCCCAGTTGGTCTCCAGCCAACATGAGGCTGGCACAGCTCCTCTCCATTCCCTCTGAAGATGGTTTCATACCAGAGGCATCTGCTCTGTGGCATCAGTGCATGTCAGTCCACTCCTTCCTCCCCACACAAGAATGCAAAGTTACCTGCTCTGCAATCTCCTGCCGTTTCTGCTCCAGGATTTTCTGCTGTTCATTTGTATGATCTACTATGTTTTTCCCTCCAACAAGCAGTTTACTCTCCATGGCCTGTGTGAGAAACAAAGTAAAATCCATGCTGTGAATGCAACTCCTCACAGGGAAGTCTGACAAATAAAAACAGCTCTTGTCTGGCCAAACGGGAGGATCACAAGCCAAGTCTCAGCTACACAGAGTAGAGGCCCTATCTTTAAAAAAAAAAAGAACTGGAAAGATGCTCAGGAGTTAAGAGCACTGGCTGCTCTTGCAGAGGACATGGGTTCAGTTTCCGGCACC